ATGGAAGGCGAAGCTGATGCCGACAATGGAGGTTTGTTCAACTGTGGTGATGCCTGATTCGAGGAATATGCCGGCGCAGGAGCTGGCACCGACCTAGGCTGCCACACCTCCATGGTGCTGCCGCGAACCGGATCGTACCGTTGTCCACTAGAGATCGGTCGAGGCGGGGGTGAAGCAGTGACTGGAGGAGCCAGCGAGTGACGTGTTGGAAGAGCCTCTGTAGCAGATGTAGTAGACTGTGGCGGCGGAGGTTGTCGCTGGAACAAAGGATGCGAAAGGGTAGATTGATGACTTGAGGTACGTGGTGAGGCGTGTGCTGAATTTGTTGCGCCCGCGTGGGATGAAGAAGACGGCTGATAGTTGTTGACCATTTCCGTGATGGTCGATTGACGTATCCCGTGTGATGTCGCCGGAGGGGTAGAGACAGCAGGCTTGGCGGCAGCGATGTCAGGAGTCGCCCGTGCAGGACGATCATCAACATTCGCGAGTGTACGCGGCTTCTTGCGAGGATTGGGAATGGCTGCAGTCGTGGGGTTCTCGGATTTCACCTTGGGTTCACGCGACTTGCGCGGTTTCTTCTCTTTGATCGTCTCGCTCGCGGTCGCCGTGACGCCAGCAGTCTTGCCAGAGGCGGCATCCTTGGGCTCTCTCGACTTACGAGGTCGCCGCTGTTTTGGAGGTGCATCTGCTCCATGCATGTCATTCACCCGGAGAGCATTGGGGTCGGCATATGAACTAGGGAAAACTCCCGTGGCAGATGAGTACGCCGATGCAGGGCTTCCCGTCGCAAAAGGATTTCTTTGCAATACTTGGATGGTGTCATTGCTGTGATTGCCATTCTTGTACTGCTTTGAGGCTGAAGTGTGGTTGTTGTTGTTGTTGGCCGCGGCAGGCGAACTTTGTGGGGAAGAAAGCGAGGATGAACCCGCGCTTTCCGATCGGCGGTCCATCACCATTTCATCGTCGCGATCAGCGTGATGGCCAAATCCCAGCGGCATCACCACGAGCGACGCCCGGCGACGATGTCAATGTCGATGATGTTGTTCGCGATGATGCTGTTGTGATTAGGCTTTGTATATCACAGTGTTTCGTAGGTTCGGGAAATCCGCGAGGCGTGTGTGGAGGCTGTATTTCTATGATACTGCGCACCTATGCAGGTTGACGACACATGCACCTTCGTGAATCCCGACAATGGCGACGGCGACGGCGATGCCGTTGTCTGTCAATGGCGGCGATACGAATGGATGGAAAACGTCCGTCGGATGTGATGTCGAGGAGATGGAGATTTTATTTTCGATGATGGCGGATCCTCTGAGACGCTCTCGGTCGATGGAAAACAACTCTCCCCAAGTCGATGAGATTTATTGTAGACGTTGTTGTGATTTATGTAGAGATGACGAACGGTGTCGGCGTCGATGGCAGATGGTGGATCAAAAAAGGCCGATGCGTGTGGAATGTGAAGGGTGAAATTACGATGGTGTATAACAATTGGAACAACAACACCTCGAAATCCCGAAATGTTGAAACGTAGCGCACGACCACAACGACAAGGGCGTTTGGCGATGGGGCCGGGGTGCGGCAAGCGACGACCGACGCCGGGCTTGCGGGAGAAAATCCGACGAGGCGGGAGTGAACAGAAGCTTGCGTTGGGCGGCGGCGGCTAAAGTATGGAGAAAACACCAGCGACGACGACGTGTCCGGTGGAGATGGGTGATGATGCAGGTCGTGAAGGCAAATGTAGACCGAAACACCGATGCGGGGATCGTGAGATGCACAGAGGATGATCGCTTTGGTGGAGGTGGACGGGCAATTGAAGTGGTGACGACTTCCAAGAAGGGTAACCGGACGGCGACGACGACGACGACGACGACGACGTTGAGGATGAGGATGAGCGGAAGTAATTGGCCGGCGTGGCGCAATCTGCGAAGACGTCGAAGGGAGAAGAGGAAGAAGAGGAAGAAGAAGAAGAGGAAGAGAAGGAATGAGAGATGGAAATACTACTATTATCACTACGACAGGAACTACAACGAACGAACGACGACGACGACCGACGAGATCGACCGTGACGGAGGACGAACCGAACAGAAAGGGAAGGTAGGCAGGCAGGCAGGCAATCCGGTTGGGGAACGACACGAAATTCGGGACCGGGAGTGGATCATGACAATTTCTCTAGTATATGTATGTATCTCACACGGGGAGCGACCAAGGCTTGCGAACGGCCAACGTGGAGCGGGAGGCAGGTAGGTCGGGGAGAGAGACATGTAGAGAGAGAGGAAGGGAAGAGGGAGAGTAGAGGGTCATGGAAGCAGGATGACGGGGGTGGGCATCGACGAGACCCGGAAAGAAGATGATGATTGATGATGGCGGCGGCGACGGCGGCAGTAGCAGCAGCAGCAGCAGCAGCAGCGATGAACAGGAACGGGAACGGGAATGGGAATGGGGATGGGGATGGGAGAACGAAAGAGACGAGAGCGAGAGGTCGCGAACGAGGACGAGGACGAGGACGATGGATGCGGAGGTAAGGCGGAGCACAAAGAGGAGAGGATGAATGAATGGACACCTAGGTAAGGCAGGGCGACGACGACGACGAGGACGATAGGAAGAAGGACGAGGACGAGGACAACGCGCACATGATGAACAGACATCAAGGACCCCCGAAAGCGTGCATTGTGATTATTATCAAGAATCACGACGATTGGGGGCAGGCGGGCGCGCGAGCAAGAGCCGAGAGAAGGAAAGGACGGAACAGCCGCCGGTGGGAATGGGAATGGTGATGGTGAGGGAGAATCGTCCTTCTCAGCGGACCCAAACCCACGGAATGGAATGGACTACTGGTGGTGATTAGTGACTGGTGGTGCTGGGCGTTGGGTGCTGGTGGTGAACGATGGCAATGGTAGTGAAAAATCACACAGTACATCCCTCCCCTTCCGTGCCTAGGTGGTGGTGGTACATATGCAGGTTCACTCGACTGCGCCATAGTATAGCATCATTCATTGCCTACTAGGTACAGCAGTGCAGGTGGGTGGGTGTGCAGGTGGTCTCGTCACGATTTACAGCATAGCACAGCACCTGCACACAAGGCACACCACCCACCAGGGAACAGAGAGGGAGAGAGAAAGAGAGGGAGAAAGAGAGAGGGAGGGGTGTCTGGGTGGGTGTTTGTGTTCGACGAGGGAGAAATGGAGGAGTGTCAGTGTGACATGATCACTCTGCCACAGCACACCTGGTCACCACCACCACCACTTACTCACCGACGGCTCCGCGGCAGACAGACAGGCCAAAAGTAAGGGACAAAGGACCAAGCCACATGGTTCCCTCCATCCATCCATCCACCACCCGCACCACCTTTCCAGAACGAATCATGCAGCCGAAGGATCCTCCCCTGCTCCATCCAGTAGGGGGGAAATGTCAGACCCGAAACAGCTCATCATCAGCTCATCAGCTGCAAAGCCACGACGTGAAGACGGGAAACTCAATCATCCTAGTGCCCCACCTCGGCTAGATCCGTCACGCCAGCAGCCCCGTCCCGCCGCGGACAATTTCTAATTTATATAATTGGACGGCCACCCAGGGCTCCCTACAGCACAATGAGCCACATGCAAAACAGCCCGCCAGGAGCTTATCCAGCCAGGCTAGTGCATCTACGGTCCGCGAGATGTTCCCAGCGAAACACCTTGGGCGACTCCGAAGTCACCGCTGCTTCTGCGGGCTGTGATGCGGAGTGACGATGCAAGTCGACCATGTCCGGCCAGAGAGGTGTGAGGGCGACATTAGCTTCCATCCAGTCTGACGGATGTCATCAACACAGCATTGGCGATGAGAACAGGCCGGTGGACATCGTTCAGATCTGTCCCAACGTGCGCGACTACGACGTTGGGCATGTTTGAGATGATGGGGAACTACGGAGAGCGATTGATTTGGCTCTGAGCTCAATAGTCTACCGTACCTCGTCTCCCACCTGCCCCAGGGTTATATCCAACCCTAATGACTTGCGATCCAGTCTTCTCTCAAAATGTACGACAGCATCAATATTTCATATTTTCTCTTTTTCGAATAAATATTAATTGACCTTGTTTGAGCCAGCTAGTTGCCATCGGGGTGAATTGCTTACATTCAAGACTTCCTGTCGAGTCATCTACCTTCCCACCACCAACGCAGGATTGAGCATGTACAGCCAGCTCGTACTTGACCCTTCCGAAACAGCAAGAGTACCTGGGCAGTCGACAGACCAAACTCTTCAACAAATCATTTCCACTCAACCCAATCCGACCCACCTCGGACACGTTAGACAATGATTCGTGGCGAGCGATTCGAGTTGAACCTCGACGATGACGGAGATGACCACGATACCTCCGCCAATCGCCAACCACGGCCAGTCATGCCAGCAGCCTTTGTTGCAGACGTCCTGGAACGCAAAGCCACAGCACCACGACCGCCGCAGGCACCGACGATGAAGCACAAGACTGGCTTTCCAGAACATCGTAAACGTCCAACAGGGAGCCGTTTCAAACAGCAGCAGAATCCAAACACCTCAACAGCCCTCAGATCAGACGGAAATTCCTCACCGGCGTCGACAAGCTTCTCCCCAGCAGGCACCGCCCCCCAGCGCGACCACCTCCCCAAGAACACCCAAACCAAGAATGTGTCGTTCGCCCTCGCCGATGACAATGAATCGTCAAATATCACCTCGCCTGACCAAGAACGGGCCCAGATCGATCGTGAGAACAATCAGCGTCTTGCTGCGATGACGCCCGCCCAGCGCGAAGCTGAGCGCCAGGAACTCATCGACAGTATCGGTCCGGCATTCCTGCAGAAATTACTCATGAGGGCAAATATCGATAGTGGAAGTGCGGAGGTCAACCTCGAAACGGATGTGCCAATGGCGAAGCAAGCGGATGAGAGAGGCACAGCTCCCACGGTGGGTGAGGAGGTGACAGGAGAGGAACCAGCAATTCTCAACGACGACCACAGTAAGGGTGAGAAGCCGACTGTAATATCAAAGCCGACGACAGAGCCAGACCCAGCCATACCCTCCCCGATACTAAACCGCGACCCAGAACCTGCACAACCATCCCCTCCATCACCATCATCATCATCAGCAGCCAAGAAGACCAAACCCCAGGACGATGACCACCACGAAGATGACATCAACGACGACGGATCCTCCACCCTCCCACCAATCCACTTCCCTCAACCCAGCCAACCGCCGCCCCTCGACCCTTCCTCCCCATCCTTCCAATCCGACCTTCACCAAAAGTACTTCGCCCACCTCCCCAGCAACCCGAGCGCGCTCGCCTGGACCCGATCCCCCTCCACCGAGACCACCAGCTACGACCCCTCATCGACCCACCTCAGCGCGTCCTCCCTCCGCTTCGACTTCTCCGGCGCACTCCTCCCGCCGCGCCTCGCCGCCTCGCTCCCCGTGACGCTCGGCCTCCACCACCACGCCGACGCCCCCGACGCCGCCGGCTACACGCTCAGCGAGCTCGCGCACCTCTCCCGCTCGAAGTTCGCCGCGCAGAGATGTCTCGCCTTCCAAACCCTGGGGCGCATCCTCTGGCGGCTGGGGAAGGGGGAGTTCGGGAACGCCTCGTCCGCGGCCGCGGCGTCCACGGGAGAAGGCGTCGTCCTCGCCGAGGAAGACGACGCCACCCCCGGAGACGCAGATGCCCCACCGCCGACGCAGCCCGCCGCGCGCCTCAACGACCCCGCCTTCGCCCTCCTCGCCCTCGGCCTCTGGCGCGACGTCGACCGCCTCCAGATCATCCCCCTGCTCGCGGCCGAGAGCACCGGCGGCCAAGGCAGCGTCGATGGCGGGAGACACGTCAGCGCCAAGGCCTACGCCACCGAGGCGCTGTGGCTGTGGAGGCGGAGCGGAGGGAGGCGGTGGAAGGCTGCTTGATGGATGGATGGATGGATGGATGGATGGATGGCGGATACGTTCGTTCGTCCGTCCCCGGCCGCTTTCTCCGGTCTAGGAATGGAATGGAATGGAAAGGAAAGGAAAGGAAAGGAAAGGAAAGGAAAGGAAAGGAAAGGAAAGGAAAGGAAAGGAAAGGAAAGGAAAGGAAAGGAAAG